ATTTGAAGTCCAGCTCTGTTTTCGTGACAGATCAAACTGGAGCTACAGAGGATACGACAATCAGCATCATTCGCGGCTTCAATGAACCAATCCCAAATCACGGGCCGCCCAGCATACCAACGGAGAGCCACCTCGATAGGCATGCTGTTATGCTTATGCGGACGCTGCAGGTAATACTCCAAAGCTTACCAGCAAGTCCTAAAAGTGAAACCTGGATATTAATGGTCGACTAGGAGCCGCAAACTCAATTGCCAGGATGCAATAGCAGCACGGTTTCGACAAGAATGCAGGTACGTCCTCATTTCTTTAAGCTGGGTGCAGCGAGTATAACCTCACGCGCAGAAGCAGAATGCTTCTTAGCCCGCATGCTTCTGCTCCGTCTCTCTGCGTCTACAACGTGGGCCCCGGTCTCGGCCGGATATGAAGACTGGACCGACAGATGGAACCATTTCCTCCTCATTACCGACTCCGGCAGGACAAGAGTCGTGTGCAGTAAAACGCGCGGTTTTTTTGCAATGGGGGTGTGGGTTCTTTGCTGCATGGTGGTTGTCGCTGTGTAACATGGAGCCCTCCATGTTGTCGTTCCCGTCCTCCTAGCCGGTTCCCTTGATCCAGCAGCAAATGAGTCGCCAACAAGTTCCGGAGCTGGGTCCTTGTCGCTGAAAGCCACAGAAGCAAGCAGGGAGAAGGGGACAAGCGTCCTGTGACCTGCAGACATGCTATGACGGGACCGGTGCGAAAGAAGCAAAGCGAGGGCCCCCAATGTTACACACTTGTCAACTGTGTCAATGTTGTTGTCGATCAGGGACGTTACGAGTCCTTTCAGATCTTTGCCAAGAGATTCTAATGTCCGAGAACTGGTTACAGTCTCAAAAGGGCAAATATCCAACATCGGGAAGTCTCCTGTGTAACCGTCATTTCTATCTCCCGTGTCGCGTTCCCCTGGCCTCATTGCTTTGCAGCGGTTTGTGGATTCTCGCCCTGAAAATTTGCTCTGGGCCAGGCTTTTTCCAGACTGGAGGGAATTTAGTTGGAGCAAGCCGCCTCCAGCTTCCGTTGAGAATTTTGTTTTTGTGCTCCGCTAGCGGCACGATACGTCTTTACGTAGCTTGCAAGCAAGCAATGGGGGCACGGGTTTGAATTTGACCAAAAGCCAATTGCTGTGTTTGTTGACGGAAAATGGGACAAGCCACGGTCCGACCGCACGCGGAGCTTTTGGCCATGTTGGCATCCAGTTTCTCAATTACAGGACTATCGAGGCGCAATTCGAGATTCGCATGGACCGTGCCTCGATGTCGCCGTCTTGAGAGCTTTGTTGATCTCCCTGCCGCCATGGCTGAAACTTGTGATGCAATTCATCGCTCAGAGGGACTTGGCAGGGGCATGGCTGGAAACATTGATACTACATCTTGTCTCATAGCGGTGAGTCCAACCTTGAGCGGGCGAGCATGCCGTGAGCGTACTCGTAAGCCGAAGGCTACATTACTGTACATTACACACGGGGGCTGAGGCAGATGGACGGTGACGACATTGGAGGGATTGAGCCACTTGGAGCTGATGTGGCAAGGGTTGTTTCTGTGGCGATGCCAAACCATGCTGGAACTCTCGGGTCCCGATTCCGGATCTTTGCGGATCTTTGAAGGTCCGAATGTCCACGAGCAACGGAGGTCATCCATGCCTGATGAAAACATCATTGCTTGTTTAGGTACTTGGGCAACTGTCATCTGCGCCTCGTTTCCTCGGGCACCGAGAAAAAGATGTCATACTAAGCGCTCCGCCTTAACTCGCATATGATCGGCATCTCTTGGCTGGACGTTGCGTGTACGCAGTATATCCAACTTATTCCCAGAGATACCAGTACCGACTTGCCACTGCGAGACGAGGATTGCTGGCAGTCCCCGAGACTCCGAGCTCAAACGTCAGGATCCGGACCGGCTGGGAAGAATGTTCATGAGGGGAATTCGGAATCTCGCTGTTATAACCTAGGTTATTGGAGATTTCTGGAGGGTGCTCCCGGCTGGCTGATGCCGGGGTACAGGGTAAGCTACTCTTCATGGCTATGACATCGACACCAAGTCATACGACACAAGTTGATGGGGCGTTTACTATGCTTCGGATTCGTTGGGGTGTAAGGGTTGGACATGGGTGTCCGTGGGGTAGCCATGCGCATTCTGTCGAACATCCGAGGTATTATTTGGTATGTGGCAGGGGGGACGAGTGTTGAGTGACAGACTGGAGTGATGACGGCACAGATTCCTGTCGGTAGAGTTCTCGGCAAAAGATATCGTACGTATGGACCTTGAAGTGGTGTTTCTGATAAGAGATTTACTATCATGTTGTTCGTCGACATCCGTAACAGCCGAGCCATCGAGTCGCTAGAGTGGGAAGTTATCCTCAAGTTCAAGATTAACTGCAATTCCCTCATCTAATGCCCCCGAGAAACTCGAGCTAGGCGTTAGGAGTTAGAGCACCCTAGTATAATGAGACCGATGAACCTATTAATTCGGATAAACAGTTGAGCTACATAGTTAACCTCACCCATGGCTTGTTTGAGCTCGGGGCAGCCCACTTCAGTCAACCCCCTATGCCAGGAAGGCACAGCATTATTCGCTCACGCCATAGCTCAAGTAAAATGTTTCAAGCCCCTCATTAAGTCCACGAAATGGGGATTTTGGGGATCTTATCTACTCTCCATGCAATCAAGGTCACGTCCACCACACTGCCGAATGCATTCTCCTTCCCACTGTAACACAGTAACATCGTCCAAGAAAAGATAAGAGGAGGAAAACAAAAATAACTTGTAGTATCTGAGAGATAAACCTCATATCCAATGCCGATGTTGACACCATAGTGTTCCTGTCTCGAAGCAACCCCTGAGCCCCTGAATAAGAACACGAGTCGAAATACAGCTTCCTCATATCCCAGCGGAATACTCCCCGGAAATCCACACCCGTTCCAAGTTAAAAACGAACTGAGGTTCAACGGGGTATAGAAGAAGGGGCATGAAGTACATACGTGATCGACCAAGAACACAACAGGAGTGAGCCCCTGAAAGCGGCACTGAAACACCGAAACAGGACGATCAAAGGATCAAAGATGTTGGTCATTTCTTGGCGGTTTCTATGAACACAAAGTAGAAGAATATGTAGACGAAGCCAACGGTGAATCCTAGTCAAGATACCGTGCTCAGTGCCCCTATCATCACAAGCTTTGACAAGCTCCAATATCGCACGACAGTGCCCAAACAACCACCGTCTCGCAATGTGCAATATAATCCAAATTAATGGGGCCGAACTCCACAGTCCTCGTGCCAGAGGCGTACGAGGAGGGGCTTCGAGGATCGGGTTTAAAAGGAGGACGAGGGCATCGCCAACATGGGCGGCACATACCAACACTGGCCACCACTGGATCCCACAACCTTGCTTAAACATCTTGGATCTTTTGAAATGATGTTGCGGTCAGCGCGAAAATGAACACATAGAAAAAGGAGCGCGCAAATAGCGTACGCGGGCAGCATGGACCCCCCCTGAGGCTTCTCATCCACGGGTTGAAACGTAGAGATATCGTAGATCGAGAAAGATAGGAGAGAGAAGTGCAATATTGATAGATACAATAAAACAGGACTACTAATCGAGCTGACTGTATTGGCATAAAGCTGCCTCTCGGTCGACCAGCTCTATCTTCCCTCCTGCCCTGTCCAGCATAAACGCACACAAATCTCGAGGCACTCAAGACTAACGAGCAACACCAGTTGGCAAACACCCCATGGCACTCGTGCTATGTCGATATAGGGCAGAAATGACCACAGCCAAGAAGTAGAGGGCCAGCTGCTACTGGGGTGTAGCGTCATGGTCACTCAACAAGCACATGTCATGACCAGGGAGCATCAACCCATCGAGCGTAGTGTCAGAGGTCAAGCTTGTTAAGGTGGTCAGGTCAGCGGTATCTCAATCGAAGCATGACTTTCCATATCATCTGCAACGCTGACGTTGACGATGCTGATGTTGATTAATGGGCTTTGCAGAGGCAGTGAGAAGTCGCAATTCAGGATAGTAGTTCGGCCAAAAAATACCTCTGCACCTCCTAGAATCATCTTAATATATATTTAAAGCCTCAAAAGTATGTTTGGAAAGAAACATCATCACCTTCATTATCCAGGCCAGAACAATTTCGCAGTACCACACGTGAATGGTGACCATATCAGCAGCTCAAGATTTCATCCACCATGAATGGTCAAAGAAGAGTGAAATAATGCTCTAAAAAGATACCATTGTAGGCATGGGCACAGCATCTTCCGAGTTCCTTCGACTTGAGCCATCGGTCTTTACGAAGCCGTCTCGTTTGGGCTCGGTCTTGGCAAGAGAGGGAGCTTTCGGATAGAGGGATGTTAAAGACACATAACAAGGGTGGAGTTTTCACAAACCAAGCGAGTTAGCGGCACAAGACCTGACCTGGGGCGAGATATACGAGCAAATTTTTGAAGAAATACTGATTGTGGAGGCCAAGACATCATAACTGATGCTTTTATCAGGGGGCTGTTTTCTTCATGACAACCTGAGATACCTGGCCAGCCTCGCTCCAACGGCAGAACAAGGCGCTCTGACTGGAGCAAATATCAATGACTCAATAACAGCAATCACATAAAGCTTTCCTTTGGTACCAGTGTCAGTCCTTCAGGCAGGCACTTACAAGACCTGTCCGGACCTCACCGAGGCTTTCCTGGAACGTCTGCTGTTGTGATCCAGGAAATCGGAACCTCGAAGGAACTTTACAGAAAACAATCATCATTCAACTCCTTCATGTCCCATGAAACTGCATCGGCAGTTGTTATTAGCAGTTGTCGGTAGTTGAAGGGGCTCAGGGGTGGGTCGGCGCTTGATCAGATAAACTGCATCATGTGAGTTCCCACGTGACTTATCTCCTTCGGATTTTCCCGTTAGCCGAATCGCGAATTGCTGCTCCGGCAAAGATTCGTGCCAGGCCTCATTTGAGCTCACCCAAGCAAACAACCTCACCCACCAGCTCAGCCCATCATGAACTCCCTCCGCTTCGCCCGCGCAGCTCTCCGAGCTCGCCCTGCCGCTATCCGAGTTCCCCTCCAGCGAAGGACCTACGCCGAGGCCGTTCCCGACAAGGCAAGCGACTACAATCCCCGGCTACTGTTTTTACGACCCGGCCCGACTGACCGTCATCGCAGATCAAGCTGAGCCTTGCTCTCCCTCACCAGGTATGACCGCCGCGCGATACCCCGATCGAGATTGGACACGATGCGATGGAATTGGACCGTCCCGACGACGGCTCGTCGCCAATTGACGGATGGAGCTAATTGCCGCACGCAGGCCATCTACAAGTCCCAGGATGTCGTTCAGGTCAACATCCCCGCCGAGTCGGGTGAGATGGGTGTCCTCGCCAACCACGTTCCCTCCATTGAGCAGCTGAAGCCTGGCCTGGTTGAGGTTATTGAGGAGTCCGGTGGTGCCAAGCAGTTCTTCCGTACGTCGACGCTCCCGGGAATATACGGTTGAAGGGATAGTCGCTGATGGATTGCGTTACAGTTTCCGGTGGATTCGCTACCGTCCAGCCCAACTCTATCCTGAGCATCAACGCCGTCGAGGGTTTCCCCCTTGAGGACTTTAGCGCCGATGCCGTCAGGGCTCAGATCGCCGAGGCCCAGAAGGTTGCCAGCGGAAGCGGAAGCGAGCAGGACATTGCCGAGGCCAAGATCGAGCTTGAGGTGCGTCTGCCATGGTGACATGTTGCCATTGACCCAATTGCTGACTATATGACAGGTTCTCGAGACCCTGGCTGCGCATGTGAAATAAATGTGTGTACAGCGTTTTGTGGTGACGGAGGCCCTTGTACATCAATATTCTACCCATTCCTAGCACGGAGCCGTGACAATTGATACCGGTCCTGGTTGTGCTACCTCCTCAATGCACTTTTATGTCTCCTTTTGTCTGTGAAACCTTCCTTCTCTAACATGATTTTGGGTGTCAATGACGGGACCTGGTTGGTGCGATGCCGGAGCTTCTTCCCCATCTAGTGCACGAGCCTTCCATCTCTCCGACCTTGATTCAACCTCCTAAAACAATGACCTCGAAACTTCTCCTACGTGATGCCACGCAAGGCGACATTGGCGTGGCATTTACTTACATCTTACTATAGTCTTTAGGCTGTCGTCGTCTATCATTCCTTGGATCTGATGGCATCGTCATCTGCTGCCACCCCCAACCGGCTTTTGTCTTGGAGAAGTCGACTATCAACGCATACACAGAAATCCGAATGGATCCCTCCTGGAATCGTCGGCGACCGCATCCGCCAGCTCAGAAAGATCGTATCCCAGCAAGCCTCCGATGATGAAGCTTCGACCGCCGCTCAGCGGGAGCGTGAGAGCACAACGCTCGGGTAGGGACGCCGAGTAGACAGCGGCTTCGGAAAGCCAGCATCAAGGAATATCGTAATCGGAGAGGAGTCACCGAGCCTACCCCTGGAGAAGACGCACTTTGATATGAAGCCAAAGGGGATGTCCGAGACACCGAATGCCCCGGGTGACCCCAAGATTGGACATCGCATCTCGGAGCCAAATCTTGGAAGCTTACGATCGAGTGTCTCTGCAGCTGAGCTGAGAGCCGGTCGGAACAGCCTCCAACGCAAAAAGTCGAGTATTGTAACCCGCAGATCTTCCCGGCGCCCTCTTACAGAAGAGCCATGTCTAGCTGAGCCATCGGCTCTAACCAAAACCTTCACATCTCCTATCCCTTCAACATATGACTCAGCTACTGTGAGCTCCACAGAAAGACGGCGAGATGCGATGGATATCTTTGAACAGTATGGAATCTCTCGGCCTGAAGGTTGGCTTTCGGAAGAGGACTCAGGCACCGCAGACCCTTCCGAAGAAATCAGGACCAAGACCTTCCGAGTTTGTCACTCTTGTGGCGCGCCCCTATCCTCGCAACGATACTGCCTGCACTGTGGCCATGACTCTTGCCTGAAGTGCACGGGGAACGCCCTCGACGAGGGTAGCGAGAGGGAGCATAGCCATTCCTTGGAGCAACATCGGGAGCAGCACCAGGAGCAGCATACCACAGACCACTGTTCCAAGGAATCGACACACGCTACTGCCGAGGGAGAACAGAGTCATGTTCATACGACTCAAGTTACAGTCCGTACAACACGCCTTCGAGAGGCCTCCAGGTTTACGTCGGGGCAAGAGACTCCTAGAACGCCCCATTGGGTCGAAAGGACGTCTCGTCGAAGGTTCAGGACAACTCAAAATGCCCCCAAGCCGACTCTAAAAAAGACGATTGCCGCACCGACGGCGATCTCGAGCTCCGTGAAGAACAATCCCTTCTACATGGCAGACATGGAAGCGAAATCACACGCCCCTGAGCCAACGACCACGCCGAGAACTGTCCAGGCAAAGCGAGTAAACAGGCTATCAGACTGTGTCCCGGATCGGCCAACGCTGGATTCATCGAGCGATAATGACGCTGAAGAAAAGTGCTCTGACCCAGAGTGTCGAGCGACACATGCCGGCCACCATCCAGTTCGCCACAGCATCGAGTGTGCAGCTCGTCGAAGTCTGAAGGGGCAAATCACTAAGGCCGATGAACTAGAGGTGATTGACATGGATGAAGAGCAGGAACCTCAACGGCCAAAAAACTCTCCGCTTCACAGCACTTTGGAGAAGAGGATTGACCAACTGTATCACCATGCCGAGGATCTCCATCACTCACAGCATATCATGGAACACCTAGCCGCCGGGACGAGGGCGCTTGACAGGTCTCAGCGAAGAAGGGCAGACAGGAAGGATACACTATCCCGAATGACAGATCATGGTCTTGATATTCCTAATCGCTCTCCAGGAGATCATCAACTCAGTCGAGACGAGGTCACATCAGTAGGGGAGGAGACAGTTGGACATTCTCTGAGCACCGACGTCAAGGCTCCTGAAGCGGTCGAGGAGCATACACTGGCAGCTGACCCTGCCCTCGAGCGAGACCTAAGTCCTAGGTCCCATTTGCTCCTTGACGATGTTCGAACCAAGGTTGCTCGTCTATTGAAGGCTCATTCCATCAGCCAGGATCGAGTGTTTGAGGCCAAGAGTCGGCCTGTAGGACGACTACGCCGGTCATTCCCCCTTGCGAAGACGACAACAAGTACGAAGCCGGTATCGCAAGCCAAACCCCTGCCACTTAGCCTCGGGGAGCAGGAGAAGGTCAGTAAGGCGTGTGCATCGTGGGAACAGAAAATGGTCTCTTCTACAAAGGAACAGACTCTTGCCACGGATACACACGCGGGTGGACATGCAGCCCATACCGCTCTTTCTTCGAAAAGAGGGCCACGGCAGATACCTTCGCGTATTGAGGATCCTGAACAGGAGGCAGTGGAGTCGAATGGTATCTCGTCATGGAGAAAGCAACTACGAAAAGTGACCAAGTCCGAAGCCGGTGATCCCATATAATCACGTTTGCGCTTGGCGAACACGATACATGGACCTCAGCACCGAGGTTGACCAACTCAAGTCGGAGGCGAGTTTTCGTGTGGTCGACCAGGCAACTGAGCAGCGAGACCAGGGGGTTGATGCCGGTGTTGGCACGTCTTTCTCGCACAAGTGCCCAGACATTGACATTGAGGGCCTCACGATTGTTATGCATATGAGAGGCAAGGATGACTTGGTGATCAACACCAAATTGAAGGATAGTGCGAGGCATGGGTAGGGTAGGAGGGCTTGGTTCTGAGAGTTGATTAGGTTAGAAGAGTATGGATTAACTAAACAATGTTTCCTCGAGGTGTGTTGTGCTGTCTAGGCCTATGATGAGATGGTGATGGCTTAGCCAATGCAGTACAGTTGTCATGATGCAACCATTCATCACAACGCTAGGTTCCCTTGAACAACCAAAACCATCTCGACACGAGACACGGCTTAACTAGATTCAACTGAACCATGCAGGTCAAGGCAGTTTATTGAGTCAAAGCCAAGTGTCCTCTGCCATGGCATTCCTGCACTGCGGTCCAACGTCAGCGGCACCAGTTCAACACAGACACAAAGAGGAGTTGAACTTCCGCTCATCCCCAACCAACAGGGACAATTCCATTCCCCGGCCGTCGGGCCCTACTGCAGCTTCTCACTTTCCCCCATGCTAGAAGGGGAGGAGGGGCGGGCAAAAAAAACCCCAACGTCGCAGCGGGAAAGGCTGGCGCGCGGCTGATGAGAAGAGGCGGTCTGCAGGGGGTGTAAGTTAGGGCTGGGGGGAGGCAAGGCGGCGGTGATGAAGGAGAAACTACGGAGACTTTTTCTGACAATATACATGTCTCTTTTTTTTCTCTACTATCATTTTCTGTTTTTAATTTCAACCTCTGATGCAACAAGGTGAGGCGAAACAGGGTAGATCCCAGGTATGAGTGATCGCCAACTTGGGGGAACAAGGGGGGGTGAGGAAGCTTGGGGCAGAAAATGACCCCAGCGAGAGAGAGAGAGAGCAGAGATTTGAGAAAATCCCATTCCCATCATTGATTGATGATCATTCAGGATCTGTCTCTTTTTCTACCTTGTGGGTATTAAAAAAAAAATGGGCTAGGTTTATGTATGTAAGTGACTAGTTACAGGAAGAAGGATTAGAAAGGGGGGTGTGTTGAACAAGGGGGGGGGGCGTTGTAACGTCAGCCGCCTTCCGCCTTTTTTCGATAGACTTGTAAAAAAAAGAACGAGAACGACTCCAGGCGGTGTAAGAGAAAAAGAAGAGACCTTGTTGGAATAATTGGTTCCTTTTCCACAGAAATGGTAAAAAAAGGACCATCAGAAACGGAGCAGACTCCCAGAAATGGGATGAGTCCGCATGCCAATTGTTCAAAATCTCTTGTAAATCCCACAACTTGACCCCGTAACTACTCATGCAAGTGTTCAATTACAGTATCTGTATCTACTTTTTCCACGCATATCACCAAAAATTGAGTCATCATGGACCAAAGTCCATATAAGAATTTTCTCAATCACTGGGCGGTGAAAGTAGGCGGTGTAGATGATGTAAAAGTAAAAAGGTACTGTAACTATGGAGAGGCTGTGTTACTTTTTTGTTTGTCAATTAACAGGGCATGGATGTTTTCTTGATGTATGTATGTGCGAGTCGAGTCACGCAGGAAATAATGCATGAGCACGTTCGTTTTTTCTTGTTAAAAATGCCTCCAACAGTTGAAAAGTTACCGGGCTTGTAAAAAAGGCGCAATTCTCTCGGTAGCTGGAGGTGGATCTTTTTCTCGGCAGTTGAGAAAGAAAAAAAATGAACTTGCCAACGTTTGAGACAAAATGTAGGGATAGACAAGACCAGACGAGCTTAACAATGAGCTCCGCTCAACTACAACACGAGCTGAAAGGTTGCGTCGATAGAAATGTCGGGCATCACAGCATGGCATGCCATGGTGGGAAAAAAAAACGCTGATGGGCACATGGGGACCCGGTTCGTTCACAGGACAGGGGGGGAGGAAGACAAGAAAAGGACACACTGTGTACCATCATGGCAAGGATCCCGGCCGGCTTCACCCCTTGACGGGATGGTATGTCATGGCATGGCATGGGACGAGAGGGGGGGGGGACGGGGCCCAGATGCCGGGGCCGTGGTCCGGTTGTGGATTCCCGGGTTCCGGACTGTTGGCTGTTGGCTGTTGTTGCTTCTTGACCGTTGTTGTGTAAGCTATGTACGGATACTTACCCAGAGACTCGGGCCAGCAACTATACCCGGCTCACTCTCCGCTCCGGAGCCTCGGGTTGTGCTTGTGCTACCAATTGTCGGTCTGTGCTTTGTTCTGTTCATGGTCTCGCTCGCCTTGCCTTGCCTTGCCCCAGTATCTGTGCGTAGAGACGGTCAGTCTGTCAATAGTCGAAACACTCGGACCTGTCAAGTGAGGGTCTAGTCTCGCTCGTACGCACGGGACCTAACAAGAGA